CGGGCGCAGTTCGCCTCCTGGGACGAGGTGAACGTGATCGCCCACGGGCTGCTGCAGCTCGGGCACGGCCTGAAGGAGCATGTGGACCGCACCAAGGGGCAGATGCGGGAGCTGGGGAGCCGCCTGAGCGCCCACAACAGCTCCATGGGGCGGCTGCTGCGGCAGGCGCGGGAGGCGCAGGAGCGGGGCGAGCGGCTGCGGGCCAGCGTGCGGGAGCTGGAGGGCCGCGGGCGGCAGCTCCTCAACCTCTCCGAGACCCTGCGGCAGCGCCTGGAGGAGGTGGCGGCCGACAAAGCCGAGATCCAGGGGCGGCTGGAGCAGCTGGAGGGCCGCGTCCGGCAGGCGCTGCAGGCACGGCCGCCCGGGAACCAGAGCGCCAAGGACCTGGGAGCGCTGCAGGTGAGCGGCGCCCCCCGGGCCGGGGGCCGGTACCGGCAGCGAGCGGGGGGAGCCGACCCGGGGGGCGCCTGACCCACCGAGGGGAGCCGCTCTGGGGGACCCGACCCCCCCCGGAGAGGCGGGGGAGACCCGGGCACCGGCAGCGCCACCCGAGGGGTTGGGGGGCGGAAGGGGGTACCGGACCCACCCGGCGTACCGGCACCGGCCCGGGGGGAAGCGGGAAGGGCTCCCTGCCTTGCCGGGAGTGGCTGCGGGAAGAGCGATGCGGGACCCGGTCCTCCCGGGGCGACGGGAGCAGCTGGAGCAGGGTCGCTGCGGGGACCCGGCCGTCCCGGGCAGGGGGACAGAGGATGGGGATCAGCCTCGGGAGAGCGGTGGGGAGACCTGACGGTCCCGGGGCAGCGGGAGCACCCGTGGGGATCTGCTGAAGGGGGGGCTGGCCCGCCTGGCTCCGGGCAATACGTGCAGCGCAGCTCGGTCTGCCCAGAGCTGTGGGGTTCACCTGGCTCTTCCCCCCACAGTCCTTGATGGATGCGCAGAACTCACGGATTGAGGAGCTCCTGCAGAAGATCAAGCAGCAGCAGTACAAGTTGGACAAGCAGAATCTGCAGATTAAAAGCCTGCAGAGCAAGGTGAGCGCCCGCCCCGCTCTGTGGTGGGGGGGCTGCAGCACGCTGTGGGGACCCTGGCGTGATGCCCTGGCAGCACAGCTGGCACAGCGCTGTGGGGACAGGAGACCCAGCGGTGCTGCTGCTCCTCAGCTTTGGGGACCCCAGGAAGGTGGTGACCCTGGTCCTCGTGCCGTGGGGGTGAGGGGAGTGAGCTGTGAGCTTCCCGAGTATTTGCACAGAGCATTAGGAGGAATTGGAGTGTGGCAACAGAGCCTCTCTGTGCTCTTCCTTTGAGTTTATCTGTAGGATAAACTTGTTAGCACAGGTGTGAAAAACCACAATCATTTCTGGCTTTGCCAGCCTCAGGAATCTCCTGTTCCTTGAGCTTTTGGGCAAGTTCAGCCCCAGTTCTGGTCACAGGGTAGCGATGGTGCCTGGGCTGATCAGCTCCTCTGAGCACCAGTGTCCAAATGAAGCTGAACTAAAACCATTTCTGATTCGTGCTTTGTTTTTAGGTCAATCTGCTGATCCCCTTACACCTGAAGGACAACAAAACGCAGTCTCCGAAGTGGAAGATAAATCTGAAGAAGAACCTCAGCCTCACCAACCAGAGCCAGAATGCCAGTGGGGAGCCTGTGCCAACGCAGAGTGAGTATCTGCCCTGCTCCTCTGCCAGAGCAAACCCGCAGTGCTTGCAACCGGCTGCAAACAAAAGGTTCAGTTGTCCTGAGTCACGATGTGAGATTTGCTCACAAAACTGGAGCTTGGGAGTTTGGCCAGACCAGGGGGATCTGGAACGCAGGCAGGACCCTAGCCTTCTGGATCAGCATTAGTTCAGCAGGAATTCAAGGATTTAAGAGAAATTTTTCTGCCTGATATTAAGAATGCAGTGGGGAGCGGAGAAATGCCGCTAGCAGGTATTTGTCAAAGAGGATTGGTAGGTTGGAGGGTGAATGCAGACAGGAAAGGAGGATCTTTGCTCCTTGGACATAACTCATGTTCACCTGCTCTCACTTCACTGGGCAGGGTTTGCTGCTTGGCTTGCCTGATGTTGGAGGTGAGGGAGCCCTGGCCCATGAGAGGAGAGCTAGATCCTTGTTCATCTGTCTCCCTTGGCTGATGTTTAGGGATCATACATGAAAGACAAATGTCTCAGCTCTTCTTAACAGAAGGTGCTGAGCTGCAGCAAACACCAGGGCAGTGGAGGCACTGGACACCCCCTGCCCTGGGAAACGAGCAAGTCAGTGGATGCTGCATCTGGAGCTCCTGGCTCTGCCTGGAACATCCCTCTGCTGACAAGGGGGCAGGAGGAGCACCCACAGAGCAAAGGGCAGTGGAGCCGGCGTCCCCAGCTGCGCTGTGTCTGTCGGCCTCCCTCCTGGATGGGAAGTGGTGTCCCCGCAGGGTTCCCTGCCGGGGAGCAGCTGCTCTGGTGTTATGTCAGCTAAATCACCGTGCTGGCTGTGTCTGCGCAGCTGTCTGGGGATGTCCAGTGTGAGCCAAACAGCAAGCAGGCAGGGTGAGGATGCACGGGGAAATCCTGCCCAGGGTTTAACGCAGGGATAGCTATTGGGAAAACACATGGTAATTTGTATGTGGAGCCTGGAGCTGCCAGCGGTGTGCTTGAAAGCTGGGTGCGCAGAACAAAGAGCTGCAGAATTGATGTGGATAAGGAGAGAGATGGGGATGTGGGGCTTCAAACTCTTCCTGGTGCTTGGCTTGGTGGGGCTGACCAGCCCACAGCGGGGCTATGTGAGGTGTCCCCCTAGCAAGGTGAGAGCAGCACTAGCAAGCCATAAAACTGTCTCTAAACCTCTTTCCCCCTTATTTTTTCTCAGCTGTGCTTTGTGACATGCCTGCAGTAGTGTTTAATAGAACCCTAGAATCATTTGGATGGGAAAGGACCTTTAAAGGTCATCTGGTCCAACCCCTCTGCTCCCCTCTCAGGTTGTGCTGAAAGCGGGGTGCAGGGAGACGGGTTCAGGTCTTTGCTAATGCTGGCGGCAGACACAGGCTGTGCTGTCTGCTCTGTGCTGCCTGGTGGGTGCTGGGTGCAGCAGCATGCGCCTTGTGAAGCGCGGTGGGAGGCAGCGAGGGCCCACAGCCCCTGGGGATGGTGCAAGGGCTCAGCATCTTCTTGAGCTGGGGAGACCCTGGGCATCCCCAGCGCCCTGGGCATCCCGACTCCCTCCCACACAGCTGAGCCATGAGCTCCCCTTTCTCTTCCCTAATCCTTGATGTTGGTATCTCTGACAGAAAACAAATTGGCTTCCTCTCATTAGCAAGTCGAGTTAGTCTTCTGGCAAACCTTAAAGCACACAGTATCTGGGGGGCCAGCCCCGTGCCCTCTGCCTGGGGAGGCTTGTGGCTGCTCCAGAGCAGGCGAGCGCGGGGAAGGCTTGTGCCGGCGGCTCCTGCCCATTGTCGGGCAGAGCCGTGGTGCAGCCCCCAGGAACAGCAATGAACTCCACCAGCAGCCCTTTCAGAAAGACCCCTTTTATTTGTATCCAGTGAACACAAGTTTTTCCAGGCTGGGGATGGCACGGGGCCAAGCATGTGAAAGTTGAAGGCTCGAAGCAGCCTGGAGAGTGAAAGGTTTAATTGCTTGCAGAAAGAGGATCACGTCTTTAGGCAGAGCCTGTGCTCGCTGGCAGCTGGCCCAGTAGGGGAAAGGTAGAGCCCTGCTCACTCTCCCTGCTGTGCTGGGACTCCAAAATAATTGGGTTGGGTTGGGGGCGGGGGAGGGGATGCAAACAGTTCCAGGCATGCCCTGCCATCTGCAAGAAAGGGTGTTTATCCCAGGTTGGTGACCTCCCTGCCTGGAGATCCTGTTGGGTAAATACAGTGCCATGCCTGGGGCAGCTCCAGCCAGCCTTGTTGATTCTGCTGTGTTGTTTGGCTAAATAAAGGGGGAGGGAAAGAGAAACACCCAGAGCAGCCAGGAGGTCTTGTTGTTCTGCTGGTGCAAACGGATGTGCAACATGAACTGGAACTAAAGAGGGTGTTCCTCAAATAAAAAGATTGAGCTGAGGGTGTTCAAGCAGCTGCATGTCATTCGGCTGCTTGAAAGACGCTGTTGCACCGGGAGAACAGAAGAGATCTGAGTGAGTGTGGCCAGGGCCCAGGAAAAAAACCCAGACAGGGTTGACCTCTGCACACGGGGGCCATCATGCATCCAGCCAGGCACCATCTGGTTGATGCTGGGAGACATGGTAGGAGAGGAGGCGAGGAGCTGTGGGAGCCCAGCAGCCACCAGCACCTCCCCGCTGCTGAGCTGGGGTCGCAGCCGCTGTGGGCTCAGGTCCTGGGTTTTCCTTCTCTTGAGCCTTGTGTGGCTTCCCTGGCTGCATCACCCTGGAGGGCAGGGTTGCCAGGGATGCCCTTGGCCTCCTCGCCCTGCCTGCTGGCTTTCTGTGGTTTTGATCCTTAGTGCAAAACACTTGCCCTTGATCCATGTGTGCATGGGCTTGGAGGAAGGCTTGTCCCATGGTGGCACCACTGGTGGCACCACCAAGGGACGCCGGTGGCTGTGCGGGTTCAGCCGTGCTGGCTGGGGGATGTCCCGGGGTAGGTGGTGGGAGAGGGACTGCCCGTGCCAAGGAAGGGAAAGATCACCAGGGACCCTGGGGAGGGGGGAAGAACGGCGGAAAGGCGGTGGCAGGTGTCACATTGCTGTCCCCCGGGTCCTCCTGTGCTGACCTTTCCTGCAGCTGTGGCTTCACTCTTTACCCTGAGGCAGCATCGGGGCTCCCCAGCCGCCTGACCAGGATGGGGCGATGCCCCACGGGGGCTGCTCTTGCCCTTAGCAGCAAAAAGGCCCCATTTTCCCCAGTCCTGCCCCTTGTGACGCCCTGGGCTGTGGGGGATGCCTCTCTCCTGCTGCTGGGCCAGATCACGGTGCCTGCCCTGACCCTGGGGGCAAAGGGGACTCCAGAGTGGGGCCGGGAGGGTGGCCACCACCCCGGCACAGCCTGGGGCTTGTCTTTAAGTTTCTTCACCCGTCTGTCTTGGGATCACACTGGCAGCAGCTGTGAGCCACCAAAATCCATCCCACCCTTGCGTGGGGAGAACAGGCCCCCTTTGTCTGGGGGTGGTGGGGGCACCTGTCCCGTCTGACAAAGAGTCCCTTGACTGCACCGATGGCCTGGGGCTGGTGTCCCTGCACATCTTCCTGTGGCCTTCTGACTCGGGTTTTGTAACAGGTCCGTCCCCCCCCCCCCCCCCCCCACCCACCCTCCCACCTCAACCATCCTCCCTCCTCAACCATCTTCCCACCTCATCCATCCTCCCTCCTCAACCATCCTGTCTCCTCATCCATCTTCCCACCTCAACCATCCTGCATCCTCATCCATCCT